AAGAAGTATTAATGTAGATCTGTGTTAAATTCTACATGTTATGCAAGAAAATGATAAACATAACACGAAAAAGGATAGACATGATACAAGAAATTACAAGAGTATGTGAAAATTGTTACATATTTAATCAAAAAGAACAAAATAATAAAAAAGGATTACACATAGAACACCTCAGAAATAAAGGATGATATTATTACAGAAAACAACAATGATTACAATGAAAAATAAAGAACTTAGAACAATACACTGACAAACACTGACAAAAACTAAATAACATTTACCATATCAAAAATAAAGAAACAATATTAAACGTCACACTACCAACAACAGAAAAAGAAATCATGAAATGGTTCAGAATATTAACTGAAAAGATTAATCAAGGAAAAGAATACGAAAAAATGTATTGACGAAAAATCTGACATGTCACAGAAAAACTAGGACCATATGACGAAAACCAAGTAAACAATTGGAGAATGAAACTATAACTTATCATTAATGAAACAATATATTATGAAATATTACTTGAACGAATCAAAGAACAAACACTAAATATACGAAAACAAGACCAACACTGAAAAGGCATAATAATACAAAAACTATTCAGATAATGACAAATCAGAAAATTACAACAACAATGAAAAGAATAAAAGAAAGAACTGGACACATTATAACTATCACTAGCAAAAGCTGAAGAAAACAAACAAAAAAATCAAAATCTGACATATTCAGAACAACAAAACAGACAAAAAGATCTATACGATCACTGGTTTCAACAAGAACTAGCAAGGTATGACAGCTCACTTTGAAGGAAAAGTAGCCAGTTCAAGAGAATTGCAGAATCTATTATAGACTATAGGCCAGGATGAAAAACTCATCCACGAAGAAGATGCTTATACTCACTTAAAAGAACTAGATCATATTCACCAAAGAGAACCAGATTATGATCAAGATCACCAAAAAGGATCAGATCAAAATCACCAAAAACATAGAAAAGATTAAGATCACCAACAAAGTCTGAAATACCATTGGAAGAATGAGAAAAAATATTAATTGATCAATACAACAGAAATATCAACATATTAATAGACTCATCACTAGATCCACTAGGAATGACATCTTTGACATCAAGACAAACGAGATCACAATCCTGAACACGATCACCAACACCTGGACCATCTAATTGAATAACCAGAGGAAGACAACTAACTCAACAAATTAATTCCAGACAAACATCACCACAATTTAGACGATCAAGATCATTATCCACTAGCAACCAATCACAATTAACAGCAAGAGTCACTGAACATAAACAATCACGAATAATCATAGACAAAACAGATGAATTTGACGAAAACACATCACGATTATATTGGGATAGGAGTATAACTCAATAATGAACATACACTATCATGATTAATGAAATACAACTAAAAATTGAAATAGAACCACATTCTGAAAAAGATTATATATCTTTGAGAACAGCAAGATAACTAAACTTTAATCTAGAAGATATAAATGCATCATTTCAACATTTATGAAGCACTATGAGAACTGTACGAATACCCAAAGAATCAGTAGAATTATCATTTAGAAACTTTTCAATTGAATTAAATGACTTACAAATCATTGAAGACTATATAGATCCAACACAATGGAAATATTATATTATACTAGAAGCAAATACTATAAAAGATATTGATCTATAATATAGCAAAGGATTCAAAGAAATAAGTATAAATAATTCAACTTACACCTCACCATTGGAAACAAAAAGACTCAAAGCAAGCTCTGAAAAACTATCAGACTTATCACAACAAATAGACTTATAAAAATAAAAAAAACTCTTTCTCATAGATCATTTTTCCAATAATTTACTGCACTACAAAAAAAAAGAAAAAATTTTTTTCTGCTATAATAACTTGTTTAAACTAAAATAAAAACATAATAAACTCTTCAAACAAGTTCAGTTTACATATAGACAGCAAAAAAATCAGTCAAAAAGATGGTTTAATGACCGAAAATGGTCAAAAACTGTTCAAACTGGATAATAAAGAAGAAAACCAAAAAACAGACCAAAAACACCTGAAAATAACCCAGAAAACATAATAAAAAGAAACAAAAAACTCCTTCATACATCCCCAATACCAGCTAAAGCATGTATCTTACAAAAAAAACCAACACTCAACTTTAACAAAGAAATAGAAAATAACTATAACTATAAAATAATCAACAAAAAATAAATAAACAAATCGAAACTACAACACAACAAACCAGCTTCATCTCATCAATAATTACTTCTCTCGACACTATGACAGGTAGAAAAAAATCTAGAAAAATATCTAACCAAAACTCAAATAATGCTTCTTTAAAAGGAAAAGAAAAAAATATCTCTCCTAATATTTTAACTCTGATCGAAACAATCATCTCCAATAATCAACAACAACAATCTAAAACTGATTGATCACAGGATACCTTTGATGACCATAGCAACAAAGAATCTGATTGTAATAGTGTACACATGATTAATACTGAAGAAAACAATCAAAATAATGGTGAATGGAATACTATTACAAGCACTAAAAGATATGCATTAATCATTGTGATGGAAATCATCACACACACCAAAATGCAAGACAAAAAAGAATGGATTCAAAAAAATCTAAGCTGTCAAACAGGTTTCATCAGACAAAAATCATCCACATTTAAACACAAAAACTCTTACAAAATTGAATTTAAATCAGAAGAATATTGCAACAAAGCAATTCAATTTCTTGAAGAAAATCATCAAATTCAAGCACAACCATTTATTCCTAATCTACCATCATTCAAATTTACTTCTAATAGTATCGTGATTAAAGATATTCCATTTGGAACTACCATAGCTGACATTAAAAATACAGTATCTTCCATCGGTACACCAAAAATTATTACTGTAACAGCAAAGGCAGGATGGCAATTGGCACATGTAACATTCAAAGAATCTGATGAAGATCTCAATTTAGACAAGATCTGATCTATTTTAATTAAAAAGGATAGTTGTAGAATAATTCCCAGAAATAAATTTCAAGAATTCAATGAGCAACGCAATCAGTTTGTTACTAAGCTCACCAATCTTCCTCCTAGATGCACCATATTTGAATAGAACAAATCTTAAATGAAACAAGAGCAAAAACATGTTTTATTCCCAGAACAAGAAACAAATACAACAGAATGGGTATTGCATTTATCGCATTCGACTCTAATATAGATAGTGAAGAAGCCTTCAATACTAAATACTCACTTTGTGGACACAATCTGATATGGACAACTGCAATCCAAAAAACTTGCACTTTCTATCACCAAGCTGACCATTTAATCGCTGAGTGCAAACAAAAAGACAAAAAGACAAAGCAACAAATTAAATGGAATACAATTCAACCTGAATCTTTCAAAAGCTTTTCACGACCAGTACAACAAAGAATAATCACCATTCAAAAAAACAATCAGTCAACCAAAAACTGCTCATATGCAAATGTTCTGAAATCACGTCCACAAAATAAACAACAAGAGCAAATACAACAAAATCCAATCAACCAGGAAAAAGCTAATGAATGAGATGAACTGAAAGAAAAAATGAATAGAATTGAAACAAATTTAGATAATACAATCAATATGATCTCTTATTTAGCAGAAAAAATAAATATCAAACTTCCAAAACCACAACTAATCAAAGAAAACAAAAAACAACCAACTCAAAAAAGTTCTAATCATTCACAAGAATTCATAATTCTCAACAACAGAATTGATATTACTTTGGAACAATTCGCAAATTTGAAACAATCTATTAACTATCTAGCACAAGTTATTCAAAACAATAACACATTATCAGCAATGGAAACAGAATCTTCACCACCAATTAATAATGATAGTACAGAACAATATGACTGAATCAAGTTTGCAAAGCCAGCAAATAACAAATCTGTTATCAACAAAATCTAATAACTCAATATTGGAAAACAATTGGAAAATATGTACAATTAATGTTAGAGGAATTAATAATCCCAGCAAACTATATATCCTAAATGACTGGATTCATGAAAATGATCTAGATATTACTGTCATTACAGAAACAAAACTCAACAAAAACAACAAACCAAAATTCAACCTCGAAAATAAAGAATTTACTTCCTTTTACAGCTCATCAGATTATCATACACATGGACAAGGAGTAGCAATTGTAATGAAAACACAATGGATCAATCACGTACAAGAAATAAATAAAATACCAGGAAGACTCATCCATTTAACTCTCAAATTCAAAGGAAAAAAAACCATTCACATTATTGGAATATATGCACCGGCAAGCAAAACAACTGAAACCAAGCCAATAATCAAATCTTTAAACAACTACATCTCCAATATTATCAACAAAAATGAACAACTTATAATAGCTGGAGATTTCAATGAAGACTATCGCTTACTTGAAAACAATCACACCAAATGTCCAATCACCAACAATATTCTAGAGCTTGGCATGATTGATAGTTTGAATAGTCAAACTAATCATAACTGTAATCAATACACATGGAAATCACAAAATGCTGAACGTACTTTAGATTACATCTTCATCGATCAAGATTCAGCACTTCTTAACTTCAAATCAATGTCATTAGAGTCACCAGATTTGGATTTTTCAGATCACTTACCAATCGGATTATCAATTAATATCAAAAATCTCTTAAACCAGCCAAAAAACACCAAAAAAAGACTCAAAAATCGAAAATCTATATTTAATCTCAAAAAAACAAATGAAAAACTCTGGACTGAATTCAAATCAAAAACTGATAATATTCTTCACCAAAACATGAATGTTCAAGATACCAATCAACAATACAACCTCAATACATATTGGAATATTATTAAAAAAACAGTACTTGAAGCAGCCAAAGATATACCAAAAAAACACATTAACTCTGAACCTATACACTCAAAAAAAGAAACACAATTATTCAAAGCAAAACGAATTCTACATTCTTTATTGAAGCTAATCAACAATCCTATAAACTCAACAAATATCACTACAATCCTAGAACTATCGAAAAAATGGCACCTATTAATTCCCAAAGATGCTATTTCACCACCAAACTTCAATAACAATATCGAAACAGTTGCTTGGAAAGAATCAATCTTACAGTGGTACAAAACATATAAATCAGCACTCAAACATCAAGAACAGTATGAACAATCAAAACAAATATCAGAAGCTATAATCAAAAGAGAGAATGCATTTGTAACAGAAAAAGGAAACATGATAAAAAGTATTCTCGAACGACAAAGAGATAGAATTGTGTTAAATCATGTCATTGAAGAAGGAGAATACTACAGTGATCCAGAAGATGTCAAAGAAATTGTAGTTAAAAAGGTCAAACAGTGGACAAGAAAAAGAAAATTTGGCACACTTAACAAAGAATGGAAAAATCGCTACAAATCCATCAACACAATTGATGACAACACATTCGAATCAGTAATGGATCCAATTACTGAAATTGAATTTACAAACACTCTCAACTCGTGTCCACTAAACAAAGCTCCAGGCCCATCAGGTATTCCTTCAGAATTCTGGAAATTTGCTGGTTACCAAACAAAAAAAGCACTTAGAAAATTGTTAAACCAATGCATATCACAAAAAAATATTCCATCTGAATGGAAAGAAGCATCAATTATTCTAATTCCCAAACCAAAATGCTGGAAAGGAAATGTAGATATCACTAGACCCATAACACTCATTGAGACCGCACGCAAACTCCTAACCAGAATTTTAACTGATCGTATATCAAAACAATGCAGTACACACAATATTCTCAAAGGCAACAACATATCAGTGTTAAAAAACACAAACACATCAATTCCAATTCACACAATCAATAACCTCGCTGAACATGCAAGAGAATATAAAAAAGAACTCTGGTTAATCTTCCAAGATATGAAAACAGCATTTCCTTCAGTCGGATGGCAACCTTTACTACATGCATTACAAAGAATTAAAATGAA